AAAGAAGAACAAATTTGCACTTTTATATGCGATATGAAATAAACAAATAAAATAGGATCCAAAAGATTCAGAAGGATATTTGTTCATTGGAGACCTTTTCAAAAATGCAGGGATAATGTGGATGTAGATTTTAATGATCTAGGTATCACGCTCTGAAAAAAGTGAAAATGGAAGTCCATAGAATGTTGTGGAAAATATAAAGAAATTCTTGAAATTCATAACTGTACCTAAATACAGCACCACAGGACATTACGACCCCTCTTGTGCTCGAGGTGCTGATCTGCCTTTCTCTCCGTCTCCCTGCTACAACTACACGTGGGCGCGTATGGGCAGAAATACCTGCTTACCTCCTCCCAGGAGTAGGTGTGGCCACCTGAACTCCAGCTGTCTCTCATCACTATCAGCTGCAGTATTTAAACCCAGCTCTCCTTGTTGTTCACTCCCAGTTTGTTGTACTATGTTGTTGGTAGTATCACTTGGGCTCCCATTTCCAGTCTTACTTACCTTTGCTTGTAGCTTAGATTTATTCCTGGAGGGCCAGCTGATTGCTTGGGGAGAAGGCTGGCTCTAAGCCCATCTACAAGAACTATTGGTGAATAGTGGGAAAAGTTGGAGAGTGGAGCCTGGGGAGATATTTAGCATTGAACCTAAGAGTCAAGTTTTATGGAGATTTGGACTTTTGTGTTGAGCTCCAGGCTAATTAACCTGGGAGAGGAGCAGAGTCTGATTTGAAGGTCTGGCTGAACTACTTTGGGGATCTCGCTTCTCGAGTGATTTGATTCTTTTACTTCTAAATGAATAATCTGAGTGTGGATCCTTGCAGATTCATCCTGTGGAAGAGATTGAGCCAGACCCCCGAGAGTTTGTTTTGCATCATTCTCACTTGTTCTGTTTGCAATTTCCTCATTAAAATCTGTAACCTTTTCAGAGCATCTGCCTTCAATCTTTTGGTTAAAAGAAAGGGTAACGCATGTATTTTGAGAAGCATCCACTGCCTGACACTGTTTTGAAAGATGTTTTGTTCCACGTTCATTTGGACCTGATAATGGGCAAAAAAAATAATGAAACGCCGTGACTCAGTTTAGGTTTGTCGTGTAAAGAGAAAAGAAAAAGTGTCTCGGTGTATTCGAGAACTGTCCGCAAAGGTCAGCCCTGTTAGCAATGTAATAAGATCCTGTGAGCCACCACACATCCGAAGCAACGCGTTTCATCATTTCAGAGTCATTACACCTCTGAGTCAGACATAAGTAAACAAAAGTTCAGAAGTATCTGTGATTTTTTTTTTCTTTAATAAACTGGCCTTCTGTTCCTGTCACCCAGAGAGGTGATTGATCTTCTGCCGTCTCATCACTCGTCTCTTCCATGTAATTTGCAGTTCAAAAGATATTATCTGACGCTTCAGCCTGTGGGAACTGCAAAAATAATGAGATGAGCACGACAATGAGGTGTTGTGGTGATACAAAACATAAAAACTAGCTTGTCATAAGGGATTATAGAAAAATAAAAAAGCACTGCAAAAAAATGAGGTTTTTAATGACTGGGTAAATACTTAGCTTTCTCTGTTTATTTGGAAACATAAGGCTAGAATACACATTAAAAAAAAATGGACAATAGGCATTACTTCTGAGTGTAATGCATATTGTTTATTTTGTACATTATGGTACCTATTATTGTCAAAAAGAAGAATAAAGTAGCATAAAATCATATGATTGTGCAGTTAGATCCACCCCTTAATCTTCATTTCTGGCATAAACACACCAGGATGACATCAAGACAGCGATAACTCAAGGCTTCCCATTGAGACCTAAGCTGGGTTAAGTTCATCTAAGTATATGGAAACAGCTATCCTTAAGCAGCCCTATGAAAAACGACGGGGTTATGGTCACAGTCATCAGTCAGAATAGCCGAGTATTTCCAGTTTGCCAGTCCAACTCTCACCAAGAAAACAAAAAGCATGTTCTCCAGAGTTTTGAATGATTTCAATAAACTGGTAGTGTATTTGTCATGGTTTGTGCAGGGAGGCGTTCCCAGGTATTGACATGAACCCCACATGCAATGAGGAACATGCGAAAAATGCATAACTCAACACCTCAGACCAAGTTTTTTTTCTTTTCACTACTTCTAAGCACTGTACATCTTGTTCTCTATTGTGTGCCTTTTTCTTATTTCGGAATATATTTCTCCTATTTTGCATGTATCCCTCTTATTTGTTGAGCACCCATAATTTTGTTGTAGATGTACAATGACAACAAAGGGCTATTCAGTTCTATTCTATTCTGTATTCTTAGATAGAGGTTTGCCCTCAGATTGTCACAAAATATAGGCTTGATCAGGAATCAGAGTAGTGACTGAGAACTCAACTAATACTCTAGTATGGGAGAAAGAAAAATGGCAAATATTTAGACAGTGGTTGGGAAAATTAGGGAAAGGTAAGATGGTTTATGGTGGAGAGAGGACTTGGAACAGAAGTCTGAGGACATCTAGTGGATGAATGGGGTATGACAGGAAGCAGGAGCGAGGCGGATCAGAGTAACTGATGGTTTTGTAAGCAAAAGACCAAAAAGATGCCATAGTTGACCTTGTGTCACAAAAAATATTAGATATTTTCTTTTTATATCCTCTAGGAAAGTTTTTGCTCTCATGAGAGGTGTGTGCTCTCCCCAGCTGAGCTGAAAACTGCCAATCACTGTATGAGGTTTATTTAACAACTGGATCCTTTTTAAAACTCTCACTTCTTCTGTAATTAATACATGACTACATTTTTATTTTTATTCAGAAATTCCACTTTAGTAGAACTAAACTAAACTAGTTAGAACTAAGATGCAGAGTAACTTGAAATAAACAAATAGGAGATATCACCAAAGACAACTTATACAGAACTTGCATTTACAAATTTGCAAGTAACTGCAAACTTTGTAGAAAGCTGATCACATCATGAGCCAAACTGAGACCATTACAGTTAAATGATATAAGGAAGCGGGATGTTATCTAATATAGTATTGTTCTTGAGAATAAATGGTTCATTTACAATTATATTCTACATCAGCCTGATTTGTATATTTGTGCTCACTTAAATAACCTTATATCTTTAATTTTAGAGACAAAGAGAGAGTAATCAAAATATTTACAAATATGATAATATCCAGTTTTGATTGCTGAAGCAGTAGTGTGAAAGTAGTGTGTGGGTGTATAACAACTAGCATCTATGATGTGAATCTCCAGTTCTACCATGTATTCAAGGGGCTATTGGATTGAGATGTGATGACTTTGTGTACATTAAATCATTAAATTGTCATGATGAAGAAACTGGTACGAGATGATCGGAGCTTTGTGAGATGGTTCATTAACCTGTTGGAAGGAGCTATAAGAAGATGGGCATGCTGCGATCTTAAAGAACGTGGTCGGCATCAATACTCGTGGCGTAGCGTTTACATGATGCTTGCAGAAGCATTATTCTGATCATCAGACCAGGCAACATTTTTCCATTCTTCTATTGTCCACTTTGTCAGTGGGACAAAGAAAACTGCCACTTTTCTCGGGTTTTTTTTAACCATTTCCTGTAAAGCCTAGAGATGGTTGTGCAGGAAAATTCCAGCAGATCAGAAATTTCTTAAATATTGAGATGAGCCAATCTGGAACCAGCAACAACGTTCAAAGTTGAATTAGCTTTCTTCTCCATTCTGATGCTCAGTTAAGGAGGTTATCTTCTCCATGTCTGTATGCTTAAATACATCAAGTTGCTGATGTGTGATTATATATTTGAGATAACAAACAGTGGAACAGGGGTTCCTATCAAAGTGGGCAGTGATTGCATCACTATTAAATGCAATCACTGCCCACTTTTTTTTAAATGGAACTTAAGGCAGGTTTAAATATCTGATCACATGTCGTAAAACCCTCTATCTTAGTGATGCATAACAATCATGCAATTAAAACAACTGTCAGTAAATTTTACAAGAATGTTAAGAGAACTGATGGTATATAAATTAAAATAGACGATTTGTAGTTTTTAGAAAACTTTCCCATGTTTTCCGTTCGGGGTATTTTCAGTGTGGAGATATATTTAGCTGTAGGATAAATTATTATTAATGTCAATGTAAAAAAAGAACGGGCTTATTTAGTGTACGGAGTAACTGGCAATAGTAGGGGATAACCCTCCTGACATAAAAGCCTGAACCAGTGTTAAGACCACTTGAAATTTCTAACTTGAATAAGATCTCAGAAACGTAAGCTACTTTATAGTTTCGTTTTGATTGGATTTTATATTAACATTAATTTTCTGAAATTATTTTTATGCAGAAAGCTTTTATCTGGTACTGCTGTTTTGAGTCATAAGAGCAGTCTTGTTTTTAACCATTCTGGAGTTTCCAAAATACGACTAAGTCAATGTGAAAGCATATTTGGAGTTATGCTCATGATTTGCAGCGTCACACGTAATGTTCCAGTCTCTATAAATGAGTTTATGTTTCAAACCAAGTCAGAGATAACATGCCAATGGTGTTTATTCAAAGATAAAATAGGCAAAGTCATTTCCCTGAATACAGCTTAAAAAAAGAAAAGAAAAAAAGGCTCCAAAATCTGAACTTTAAAAATGAAATTGACTTTTAGAAGGGGAATATAAATATATTTTTAGTATGCCTATATATTTTGGTAGTGTAGACAAATGTTTTCAGCGCTGATTACTTATCCTCTACTTATTTTCCCAAAGTATCAGAGTACTGAATGTACCCAGTGGTGATATGTAGCTGACAAATGGCAGGACTTGTGCTCCACAGTGAGGCAACAAGTTTACAATCAGTGTTTCCCAATTAGCTGAGGATTACACTGTTAATACGTAGTTTCAAGTTTAACACATTTTTTCAACTGCTGTAAACATTAAGACAAAACACTGTAGCAGGCGGTTACAACACGTCATTTCATTTTGATGTAAGAAAAAAAAAAAAGTAACTTTTAATACATCACTATTCTTGTGCAGTTCAATTTTTTTTTTACAGTAAGTCAAAAGGAAAAGAAGCACCATCTTACTATTTAGCTGTTATCCAATTTACTTTCAAAAAAGAAATTCTCCTTAAAAATGTGTCATAGTAAATATCATAACTTCAGAGAAAATAACCACAAAACAAGATCTTTTATATAAAAAACAGTTTAACAATTTGTTTTTTCAGTATAAAACATTACACAGAGCCAGGCCAATCAAACAAATTCACTGCCACCATTTCAAATAATCATTAACTCCCCAGTCAAACGCTCTACATTAACATACAAAGGGTTTACTGTCTTTAAGGGGTTTTCTGTACTTTTTATCTAGTTATTGGTAAATATAACAAACACAAAGGCTAACAATCACTCTTCGTTTGCTATAATATTAATAATAAAAAAGAACAAAGGTGAACTCCTGGTCCGTTCAAAGCCCAAGCCCCCAAATTTCTGGTCAACATGGCATCTATGCAGTCTTCTGCTGGCCCTTCTTCCCAATGAGGGATTTGTGAATGTGGGGAATGACACCTGAAAGCAAAAGGAAATGAACATGAAATTTACATATATAATCTGTAAATAGAATACAATCTGTACACAGATGGTTTATATAAGATATCGATTAATCAGTCCAGAAAACTGCCAGCTCACCTCCTCCAGCAATGGTTGCCTTGATAAGGGAGTCCAACTCCTCGTCACCACGAATGGCCAGCTGCAAGTGGCGAGGAGTGATACGCTTCACTTTCAAGTCTTTGGAGGCGTTACCCGCCAACTCTAGTACCTGGAAAAAACAAAGAAACAAGGATTCATATCAACAAAAAAATTAGCTACAGTGAAAACAACCAAAGCTGACATTAAGTAACACTGTTAATCAAAACAAAGTTTAAAATGGAGGGAATGGAAAGTCTTACTTCAGCGGTGAGGTACTCAAGGATGGCAGCACTGTAAACAGCTGCTGTGGCTCCTACACGACCGTGGCTGGTTGTGCGAGTCTTCAAGTGCCTGTGGATACGACCCACTGGGAACTGTCAGGAAACAGAAGTAAGATAGTGGTCCAATTTTCTTTTTCAAAAGCAAACGTCCTGTGGCGTTTAACACCTGCACCAAAGCCACAAACTGCACCACGACAAATGATTGACATTTACCTGCAGACCAGCTCTCTGGGAGCGCGACACCGCTTTCGCCTTGGCTTTGCCACTGTCTTTTCCTGCTTTGCCACCAGCCTGCATTGAGTGATTAAACGGAAAAGAAGATGAAATCAGAAAGTGGAAGCAAATGTGAAACGAATACGCCTGACTTGTATTAAATGAAAAATAAAAGACTTAAAGTTACATAGCAAAATCGAATCTGAATAAATTAGAGAGTCACCGCTGAGCTCTCCGTGTTATTGTTCTAGTAGTTTACGTTACGCCCGGTTCAACAGTTGTCGCTTTCCCGCCAATCAAAAATAAAACAGAAATGAAAAGTAGCAACGTTAACCGGCCCCGGAAACAGCAAGTATACACCCTAAAGATAAAATAACCGATTTAATAGAGACAATAACGACTCCGTTCCTTAAAAAATACGAGAACCTGTCAGCAGGTTGCTGGCAGTGACCCCGCGACAAACAAAACAGACGCGCCGCCTTAAGACCGTCAGCGGTCAAGTTTTCATTCAGAGATTTTGACAAAGAAAGTTGGACTTACAAAGTCACCTGGACTCAAATAAAACACAAAGTAGTCTTTACTAATTTGCATCACCTGCAGACTTATTTTAAAGGAATTATTCAGCAGCTAACAGTCAACCAGCCGTTAAGCCAACGAACTAGCTAAAGTTAGCTTGCAGTTACTGCTAAAGCACCATCCACAGGCTACACCGACTCAAAGAGCAGTTTATTCTCTTAAATGAGCGACCCACCTCCGAAAATTTGCAAATATACCCAAAACAACTCGGAACAAACACTCAAAGCTTAAAAGCAGTCTACTTTTAGCCGAAAATCCACACGAATCGAACTTCTTACCGTAACGATAATGCTAATGGTTTAGCTGTCAGTTAGCTTCTTAGCAAGCTTGTTAACCACACACATTCTGCGCGGATTTCCCCAGTTCAAATTCAAAGCAGCACTTTCTACAACTGCACAGTTATTCAAGCTAAAAAACGGCAATATCTCCTATAACACGTTGAGCATTGCCCCGAGTTCACATACCATTTTTCCCGACGCGTTATTTTATTGTAGCGCTGAGTAGATTCCAAACAGTTTCGGCTCCCGAAAGCAAAGAAACAATAAACCTTTTCGCAAATCGTTTGCATGCAACCCCTCGTGGGAGCCGAGAGAGCCAATAGGAGAGTGCGTTGTTACTTCGAATCTCAGTCTAAACCAATAGCCTTGCCCTTTGCAGAAATTCCACCCATCCCCCACCCTAAGCTCATCGTGCCTGTCTTTGCGCACGAAACCACGAAGTAGGCGGGACTGTGTGTTTGTGTGTAGTGTCCTTCCAGGGACATCCATCCTAAAACCGTACAAAATACATAACAAAGCGGGCTATAGCTCGGATTAATTCAGTGAAATCCATGAAATTCAGTGCAAGGACACGAATAACGTCTTCAAACGTGTATATTATTCTACTGGCGTCATACATGAATTAGTTATGGCTGTAAAATGATCTCTAAATGACATGTACTCCACTGAACATATGCTACAAATAATCAATAAGCAGTTATGGATTGCAAATACAGTATCTCCTCGAATGTCATCTGGAAAGCCGTTACGTTGTCTTGACAGGCAGGAGAAATAGCGAATGAAAACTTGGGCTCTTCGTCTGATGTTTTAACTGACAGGCACAACAGCCAACCGGAGCTCAGCAGTCAGCGTCCGGTTGCCTCCGTGAGCTCGGTAACAAGGGGGGTGGGGGTCAAAGATACGCAGAGAAAACGGGCTGCTGGTGGCGAAGATGGCGGATGGGGATAGTGGTAGTGAGCGCGGTGGCAGCAGCGGTGGCGGAGGGGGTGGAGGCGGCGGGTTTCAGCATTACCAGCGGGAACCGGAGACCCAGGAACTGGCGTCGAAGCGGCTGGACATTCAGAATAAACGTTTCTACCTTGACGTAAAGCAGAACGCCAAAGGCCGGTTCATCAAAATCGCCGAGGTCGGAGCTGGCGGCTCCAAAAGTCGGCTGACCCTCTCTATGTCAGTTGCGGCGGAGTTCCGTGACTACCTGGGGGATTTCATAGAGCACTACGCCCAACTTGGGCCTAGTACTCCGGAGCAGATTGCTCAGTCCTCCGGTGGGGATGACACCGGGCCTAGACGGGCCTTGAAGAGCGAGTTCCTGGTGCGTGAGAACCGAAAATACTACCTCGACCTAAAGGAGAACCAGCGGGGTCGGTTTCTCCGGATCCGACAGACCGTCAATAGAGGCCCTGGTTTCGGAGTCGGAGTGGGTGGCATTCCCGGTGCTGGCCTGCAGGCTGGACAAACCATCGCACTCCCGGCCCAAGGCTTAATAGAGTTCCGTGACGCCTTGGCCAAGTTGATAGACGACTACGGGGGAGATGAGGAAGAGCTTGCCGGTGGCGGAGGGGCCGGGGGCTACAGCGAGCTTCCGGAGGGCACCTCAATCATGGTGGACTCCAAGCGGTTCTTCTTTGACGTTGGATCCAACAAGTATGGAGTTTTCTTGCGGGTGAGCGAAGTAAAGCCCAGTTACAGAAACTCTATAACAATCCCCTTCAAGGCGTGGAGCAAGTTCGGGGGAGCGTTCAGCCGCTACGCCGAGGAAATGAAAGAGATCCAGGAGAGGCACCGGGATAAGATGTACGAGAGGAGAGCCGGAGAGGAGTCGGAGGGAGACGATGTGGACGACGATTGATGCAGAGAGGAGTGGTGGCTATTTGTGATGGAGCTGACAACATGATGCAAAGCCTGGATATAAACAGAGAAACGGAGAGAGAGGAACGACTATTCTGTGCATGATGAAATGAATCCGGAGTTAAATAATTAAAAAAAAGTATAATTGACTGAGAAATTACTGTCTATATAAGAGAATAATGTTATAAAGTTTAGGTGGATGTTATAGCTAATTGAGTGCAGACTGCAGTAGTCAGCTCCTGTATGAGATTTCCCCTTTGATTTAAAAAATATATATGAATATATATCTATATATAAATATATTGATTGTCCATATGACCTCACATGTAGCCCAGCAAATTAAGTTTGGCAGAGACACAGCAGTAGATTACCGGTACCACTTTCTAGTTGACATCAAATGGTAAGAGCTCACCTGGCGCTGACCTGTAGTCTGTGTGATGATAATAAGGAAGTGTGAAACATGTGACATACCCAAACCAGCAGGTGCAGTGTGCCAGTGAGCCAGAGCACCTGCACCGTTCACCATGGCTGTGTGTGTTTCTTGTCTAAAGTGACCTGTAATGAACAGCTTGCCCAGACAGACCCACAACGCTCAGAGCCACAGTTTCAGCTACCTGGGAGTGGGGTGGCACCCTTGGCATCACCGGACATCCTCTCAGCCCAGTGAGGTTCCCTGTAAGGTGATCTGTTACAAGCACACGACTCATTTGGATTCTACAGACAATCCAAATGAGTTCAAATGACCTCCCACCCTTCTTCTCTCCTTGTTTTGCACCCTTCCACTTTCCCTCCTGGGCATTCCTCAGGTGCTGACTTCTTGCTCCGATAGCTGAATTGCGGTGTGGCCTGCTCACACGTGGCTCGTTGTGTCTCAGGGCTGGCAAGTCCCATCTGTATTTTGGGGTATATATCTATATATATCAGCACTACCTGTGCCTGTGCATCATCCTCAAGAGGTTCTGGGTGCAGATCTGGTCAGCCAGTTGCTGCAGCTGAGCCATCTGTGGCAACTGATGATGTCTCCTAAGATGCATGGCCACGTCTGACCCCTGTGACCTTCTTCTCAAAGGGGGACGCAGTGAGCTCAGGCCTGTAGCACTGGTCACGAATTTTAAAAAAGCTTAATATTGCCGGGCTTGAGCTACAGTCTCAAGGGTATTGATCTTGTTGACTCACTTAGGGTTCACCATTTGGATCCTCTAATCTTGAACTCAGACCATTAATGACTGAAGTACTATTCAGTCTGATTGTAACATAAATTAGGTGCTTTTGGAAAACTAAAACCCATAATGGGGTGCTGTACCTAAAGGAACATAAAGAAAAATATATATACTGGAAGAGATTTACTTACTAAAAAAGATCAAGTATAGATAGAATTATTTTTCAAAAGAGATATATTAAAATATGTCTTAGAAATACGAGACATTTAATAGATAATGCTGCCTAAAGTGGCTTATTTAAAACACTAAACTTGGATGCAAATGTCCAGGGTGATATTTCATACCTGCTTTTTTCCTAACGTCTTTTTTTTTTTTTCCTTAGAGGAAATTAAAGAGAGTACAACAAATTGATAACAGAGTATGTTATAGCAATTTATAGAAACAACTTCACTGAAGTAGTTTGTCAGCAAACACTCAGCACTCCAGTTCACTTTACAGAGCATCGAGTTGTCCCCTCGTTTCAGTCCACACCTTTTAACCCATGTTTTGTCATGAATTGGCTTTCCATCAGTTGCCAAATGGCGCAAACATAAACACCTGAAGTCATCGACATTTCGTCTTTAGTGCTCCTTTTTAAAATATGATCATTTTTGCATGCCTGCTCTTACGCGGAGCTGCCTTGTGTTCTTTTCTTTTGCATATTCTGATTGCTGTATAATGGTATTTATCCATATTTTTTGAGAGCGGTTTAAAGTTTTATTTCTGCATTGCAATAGACAAAAGAAAGTTTACTTCACAGCCTAATTAAAAAAAAAGCCACAACTTTCCCACATATTTTGGGAAATGTCACTCTCATTGTCCCATTTCCTTTGGTGTGCAAAACCTCTCGTTGAATTTTACTTTACCCACTTCAACACAGCAGAGAAATGCCATATGAAAAAAATAAACACCTGGGAGCAATAGTTTTTTTTTCTTTTCTATTGATATGAGTATACTATATATGATATTACACATGCGATTGAACTACATCCTTCTTCCTGTACTGTGTTACGTGAAATGGCAGCTGTTTCAGTCATGTGTGTTCTGCTGTATTCTACCAAGTTCCTTTCAACGAGAAATAAAAAAAAAAGATTTTTTGCTCAGGAGAGGTGTGGTGTTTTTTTTTTTGTTTGTTTGTTTTATTTCCCAAAACAAAAGACAGACAGCAAACAATATACTTGCTACCTAAACCCATAAAGCCTCAGCAATATAATCAAAAATGCTTTCATTACTATCCAGACGTCAATAATATGTCCTTGTAATGCTGGGTGTGATTGAACAGGAGTCTAAAACTTGATATTCAGTTTAATATAATAAGAAAACCATCAAATATTCAGATTTTTAAGAAGCTGCGAGGAGAGAATTTACTTAGAAATACCTTTATTAATCTGATACAGTTACCTGCTGTAGCTTCAAGATGATTTAACAATTTTTCATTTAAAATTTGTGGAGTTACATGATATGACGTGGTATGACACATCAGTCCTTGAAGCCCTTTATCAGCAGTAGAAGAAGTATTCTATTATTTAATTTACGTACCGGTATATAGGTATGACTGCAGCTTATTCTCTTGTAACAAGTCAAGGCTGAGTCTGTTTTGTGCACAGTCCAGTTTAGTACAATGGTTTCTAGCCCTTCGTCACGAGTCGTGAGGATGGGACAATAAAACATCTGTATTTAAGACGTCTATCTTTTATAAAAATGAAATAAATTTTACACTAAAGTATCAACTGCAGTGATAATGCATTTGATAGAAAATTTGACAGAAAACATCCAGTTCCCTGTGTGAAAATGCCTTGTTGTTGTCAGAGGAGAACGGCCAGACTGTTTCAAGGTGATAGGACGGCAACAGCAACTCAAATAATCAACTGTTGATAAACCGAGGTATGTAGACAAGCATATATAAATGCGCAATATGTTGAACATTGAAACTGCTACAGAACAGTAAACTGAACCTATTTTGCAAATGTGCTCACTACAATTGGACAATAGAAGCTTAAAAAAATGTTGCCTGCTCTCATGAGTCTTGATTTCTGCTGCCACATTCGGGTGGGAGGGTCAGAATTGGCTGCAAACAACATAAAAGCATGGATCCATCATGCCTTATATATTAATTTGGGCCCCTTAGCATCAGCTGATCGTCGTTTAACAACATATCTGAGCATTATTGCTGACCATTTCCATCCCATTATGACTACAGCATATTCATCTTCAGATGTCTTAATCCAGCAGGATAGCACACCATGTCACCATGTCAGCGATGTGCGGTCATCAAAAAAAAAAAACAACTGTGTGGTGCTGTCATGTAAAGCTGGATGCAAATCTCTGAGGAATGTCTTAAACACCTTGTTGACAGGAAGATGTAAATAATAATAATGAACTTCCAACAGGCAGATTAAGATAAGCAGCAACATTCATCCATCTATCTAGTTTCCATTTTAGGGCTGGAGCCAGTCCCAGCTGTCATTGGATGCTTGGTAGGGTACACTCTGAAGAGGTGAGCAGTATATCACAGGGCTAACACAGAGAGACAGACAACCCGTTATGCTTAGATTCAGATCTACTGCCAATCATCAGTTATTCTAATATGAATGTCTTTGGATTGTGGGAGGAAGCTGGTGTACTTGGAGAGAACCCACATAGGCAGAAAAGTGATGTTAAATAACGTGATAGTTTATTGTAGTTTATTATTATCTTATTAAAAAAACATTCCTAAAAATAGATATCCATACAGGCCTAATGACTTCTGAAATAAAATGAATTTCTTTAATTAGTTTACTCTTTTTCACCTACAATACGCAATTTGACTTAAATCTTTTTCTTGTTTTTTGGGGGGGGATAAACAGCGCTAACCAGTGAGTTGAAAAAGCATTTCACTAGCTGGGCCCACATTGTCATTTTAGGCTTGACAGCGTTTTAATAGGTAAAGGTGAATGCTTTACCTACTAAATGAATTGAGCTCCGGTTTGGGGCGACAGCTCCTGGGCCTGGCAGATCCCCATGTACTAAATAGAAGTGAAGAAGTTAAAGAATTGAAAACAAGGAGGGTGGGGAACGTAAACGAGAATGAACAGTTTGCAGAACTGGGGGAACCTATATAGATGACAACCGGAAGGAGTGTGTTTGGAGGCGTGGTCCCGCTCCTGAAATTCTGATACATAATCTCCAATAATAAGTCATACGACCAAGGTATTATCCCTCTATATGAGGTATATCCGGGCTCATTTAGTTTCCAGCTAATCTCCTTACAGCACACTTTCACATCAGGATGGTTCAGAAAGTAAAGCGTTTGTTAACTGGAACAGACGTGCAGTCACTTACACCGTCGGAAAATCAAAGGAAACATATCTTATGGAGAAATTATCATCAGTATGTTCAGAGGAGGTCCGGAGACAGGTTCACTAGTGAGTACAGCCATTTTAAAACATGGTGGACACTCTGTCATGGTTTAGGAATGCCTCACAGCCAGTAGTGTATGCAGAAAACTAAAGATTATGATCCACCATGCACTACCATCTGGAAAGCATCTGATTGGCAACAGCTTCCTTTTTTTTTAGCATGACAATGATCCCAAACTCTCAGGCAATACAGCAAAAGCATATGAGGGAAAACACATGCACAATGGAATCCTATCAGTGAGAGACCTGACTCAACGTTACTGAGCAGCATGGGATCATCTTGAGAGCGAATAGAAGGAAGGAATAAAAGTTCAATATACAAATAAGAGCTCTGAATTCCTTCGAGAAGCCTGGATAACAGTTCATGAAGACTACCGTTCACATTTTCCTAGCAAAATAAAAAGAAATAAGGTATGGCTCAAGACTTTTGCACAGTATTGTGTTATTTGGTGTTAATATCGTATGCAAGTATATAAGTGAGCCTTTTTATATTACTCTAAAGCACAGTGCAGTGTGGTGAACATGTATATGGGAAGCTGCTTGGCTTTTTCTGGTTTCTGGGTAATGGAAACCTTACTCTGTTCAAAAAACTCAGTTCATGACGTTTATATTAATCATCAGCTGAGGTCGTGTTTACGGAGTCAAGCTGTGAAATCATGAGGTTTCTAACAGTTCAGCTGCGTGTCAGCGAATTGATTGAGCTCAGAGTGACGTTTCTATGTGATGCACTGCTTTGCTTCGTCTGGACTGGTTTCATCAGGATTTGTCAGGACTGCCGCTGAGGAAATGATAAGAGCCAGAGCAGAGCCAGAGCTCTGTGGGATCAAACTAGAGATGTGATTACGTTTCCAGTTTCACAATTTCTAAATAAAAGGATCAGAAGCACTCAATGTTTTCCTGAAAAAGGCACCTCATACTTTCAGTAAACCCTCAATATGACCTCAGTGATTCATGAACAACATGAACGACTCGGATTTAATGTGCCAGCTTTGTAGTAATGATGCATTGTATCTCCAGGCTGTCTGCTACCACATTTTGTTTCCCAAATATCGTTGCAGCTGTTCAGGAGGTACGTCTCTTTGATGCTTAGCAGCAGCACAGTTCACTCTGTGATTCACAGCAGTGATGCTAAATCCTGCTTTGTACTCCACTGTCTCTAACCTTGCAGTTCATCCGAACATCATGGGCCTTACATCCACACATACACATTTAAGTTCACACAAACAGCACCACCCCCTCCGCCATGGGTTAGCCAGTTTATATGATCTCCCTGAGCTCAGAGTGATGAAGAGTGCGCAGAGAGGCTAAACGAAGAGGGACGGAGCACTAATGGGAGAGAATGAGAGAGAGAGTACAGCTCAAGGGCATGTAATACCATGCTGAGCTGGGTGTCAGTGGAAGAAGGGATTATTTCACATGGTGCTGGTGTCCTGATGGCCTGCTCCAGAAATACAAGCCACACTAAGCTGCCCATCCATCATTCAAAGCAGACAAGTGTGAGAGGTGATGAAGAAGACAGTGGATTGGATCTCTATGAGGTGGTGGGGGTTAAAGACATCACCAAACCTCTGCCTCTCGTGACACACTCAGCGAAATGTATCCATGCATGTATGGAGTCCACCTTGCAGGTGATGCATGTGAGTAGATGAGAAAAGGAAGTGATATTTTCAGAAGGAGGCTGTATGTCAAGTATGTCCATCGTCTTCTGATATCCAGTTCATGGTAACAGGAGTGCTGGAGTCTATCCCAGCTGCTGTAGACTAAGAGGCAGGATACACCCTGGGCAGGAGACTGTTGCATACCAAGCACAGAGAGACAGACAACTATGGTCCCTACAAGGTCATGACAATTCCTGATGAAACCAGTTCAGACTTACAGTATTTTGACCACTGAGTGACACGAAGCTCTGTCATAGAGCATTTTGTCTACACACATTAACACAACGTCAGCATCACTACTTTAACAGTTCTGTTGTGTAAGCAGCATCTCAGCTGATGATTAAAGCCAACTTCAAGAATCAGTCTGAACTCATTGTCTATAGCAGAGTCAGAGATGTCCAGAAACCAGAAAATGTTTAGTATCAGTGCAGGAAACAGTGTGAAGGACAGCGTGATTTAAGTACTTTCTGTCAGAAAAAGAAACATAAAACACTTTTATATTGATAGATGATTTATTGGTCACATGTTCATTGAACCATTGCTCAAATGTTTCATTCTAGATCAAAATGGATTGACTAAAGATCACCCACTGAGCTTCACAGTTACAATGACCAGCTCTAACTTGTCATGAGTCCTTGTCTAAAATGCTCAAAATACTGTTGCTCTATTTGCAAATTCTTAACAATGGAATTAAATTACTATTAAACCTAAATCATGATGAATATATTAATGCACTTTCATACTGTTAGTACCCAGGCAGTAATAATAGTCCAACTATGTCCTACTTGTGCAGGTCTCTTATATCCTAATTTGACCTTGGCTGACACAAATTATTCAGGGTAAGTGTATCTGCCTAGATTGCACCACGCACATCTGCATGTGACATAATGTCCAGCTTTGGGCCGTTTACCAGTGTTGTAACTGAGCCAAAAGTGCTCTGAGTTGTCATGTTTAGCCCCAGATTTGTCTGCTATATGAGTAGGTAGTTAAATATAATACAACCACACCCTCGCATTTCAAAGAGTGGAATCTTTTCAGACTCTTCCATTT